TGCTGCAGCACAGCTACGTGTGCTGCAGCACAGGCAGCTGTGCTGCAGCACAGGCAGCTATGTTGCAGCACACGCAGCTGTGCTGCAGTCCATTCAGCTGTGCTGCAGCACAAGCTGTTGCGCTGCAGCGCAAGCAGCTGTGCTGCAGTTCATTCAGCTGTGCTGCAGCCCACGCAGCTGTGCTGCAGCACAGGCAGCGGTGCTGCAGCAGAAGCAGCTGTGCTGCAGCACAAGCAGCTGTGCTGCAGCACGAGCAGCCCAGGCTTGTGTGTGGGGCCCCACAGGCCCAGTGGGGGCCCCCTAGCTGTGGGGCCCCACAGCCCTTTTAACAAAACCCATTAAAGAAAAGAAAAGGCCGGGGGGGCCCCCCGTTGCAGCGCCTTGCGGGCATTGAGGCGTTTTGCTTCTGCTGCAGTGCGGCGGTGGTAGCGGCTCTGCTGCTCCGCGCCTGCAGCGCACCAAAACCCTAAACCCTAAACCCTAGGAGTGCCTTTAAACCCTCGTTCGGGGTCTCAGCGCCAGCGCGCCGGTGCCCCCCTTATCGTCGGCAACTTGAACTGCTGTTGCTGCCGCAGCACAGCTGCTGCTCACCTTTCCCCTGCTGCTGCTGCTGCCGCTGCTGCTGCTGCTGCTGCTGCTGCGGGTCAGCTAAGGCCTGCTGCAGAGCTGCGTTGACTTGGCCGCAGAGGCGAAGTGCTGCAGCAGCTTCTGTGGGGCGGCGGAGGCCCCACAGAGAGGCAGCCCGGAGGCTCAAGGCGCTGAAGGGTCCTGCGCAGCAGCAGCAAAGCAGCAGCAGCAGCAGCACAAAGCAGTCAGCAGCAGCCAGCAGCAGCCAGCAGCAGCCAGCAGCACTGCAGCACGGGGGAGACGCAGGGGCCTCGAGAGACACACGGACAGCCACTACTGCTGCTGCTGCGCGTAGCAAAGTGCTGCTGCTGCTGCTGTTGCTGCTGCTGCTGGCGCTAGTTGTGTCTCTCTGCGGTTCTTCCCTTTCTTTGGCTGCTGCTGTGTCTCCTTTTGGGTTTACTGCAGCAGCAAACCTCTTTGATTCCTTTTGCTGCTGCTGCTTCTACTGGGCCCGCAGCTCAGTTCTCACCAAGAGGGCAAAGAGTATTCTTCTGCAGAGACTCTAGCAGGCGGGAGTCCCGCACGCCTTCTTCACTTGCTGCTGCTGCTGCTGCTGCTGCTCTTGCTGCTGCTGCTGCTGCTGCGGGGGCAGCGTCGCCGGCAGCAGCCCACAGGTCAGCTTCGGCCGACGCTGTCGAGGCCTCCAGTGCCTGAAGAACGAACTACTCCTGCCAAAGTGGTTCAGGGCAAGCAGCAGCAGCAGCAGCAGCAGCAACAGCAGCAACAGCAGCAGCAGCGATGGCAACAAAAGCAACAGCGCGACACCGACTCTCGAGAAATCTCCAAGCGCTAACAGGCAGCGAGCTCGCCACGCGTTTGCTGCTGCAGCAAGAGACGCAGGGCCACAGGAGGAAGCAGCAGCTGCTGCTGCAGCAGCAGCAGCAGCAGCAAGTCGTCTCTCGGCCGCCTTCAGGCCTCTTCCGAAGTACTGCTGCAGCGCAACGCCTAAGTCGCTGCAGGGGGTACTGTTTGTCGTGCTGCTGCTGCTGTTGCTGCTGCTGCTGCTTGTGTTGCTGCTGCGGCTGTTGCTGGTGTCGCTGCTGTTGTTGCGGCTGATGCTGCTGCTGCTGCTGCTCCGTGGAGCTTCGCTGTGAGGACAAATAGACCTCTCAACAGCAGCAAGGGCCTGCAGCAGCAAAGAAGCAGCAAGGAAACCTGTTGCTCCAGACCTGCAGCCGGAGCAGCAATGGTAGCAGCAGCAGCAACGATAGCGCGTGCGGCAGGAGCAGCACCGACATGAGGGGCAGCAACAACAGCAGCAGCAGCAGCAGCAACAGCAGCCGCCGCTCTTGCCTGCAGCAGCCACGCCTCTTGTCCTGCTGCTGCTGTGGCTGAGCAGCAGAAAGTGCTGCAAGTGAGCAGCTGCGCCTCAGCAAGGGCTGTATCTCTCCACCAAGGAGACAGAAAACTTCCCCTGCTGCTGCTGCTGCTGCTGCTGTTGCTGCTGTTGCTGCTGGGGGGCAACACCAGCGCAGCTTCAAGCCGCAGGCCTGCAGAGACCACTCCATAGGCCAGGCCCCTATTGGCAGCAGCACGCAGCAGCTGCTGCAGCGCCAGCAGCCGGAGAACGCTGATTGGTGTTTCTCGTTGCCCTCTGGCTGCTGCTGCTGCTGTTGTTGTTGCTGCTGCTGCTGCTGCATCTCCCCCCATGACTGATGTTAAGGGGACGGCTGCGACTGCAGTTGCTGCAGCGAGAGCTTGCCGCAGCAGCGCAGTGTCCTCTCTAGAGTGCGCTGTTGGCCCTTGCTGCTGCTGCTGCTGCTGCTGCTGCAGCTGCTGCTGCTGCTGTTTTAGCTGCAGCAAATATTCAGGTAGGCGCCGCCGCCACCTCCACTTGAGCTGTTGCACGGCTGCTGCAGCAACTTGCTTGTCAATGGAGCCAAACTTTAGTAGCGGAGCAGGGCAATCGGGCCCCTGCTGCTGCTGCTGCCTCTGCTGCTGCTGCTGCTGCTGCTGTGTCTGGTGGCGAACTGCGAAGAGCCCTGGCTGCCGCAAGTGCCGCAGCTGCAGCACCGCCAAGCAGACTGCGAGGTGCGGCAGCTGCAGCAGCAGCGCTGCCTGTGCCCCCGCATGCAGCCCCAAAACGCTGCATCAATGTTCACAGCAGCAGCAGCAGCAGCAGCAGCAGCAGCTAGGGACCACAGTAATACTACCAAAGATACAGCAGCAAAAGCTCCTTGCGGCGGCAAGAGTCGGGAACAAACGGCGGATAAGAGGAAGCAGGTGTATCAGCAGCAGCAGCAGCAACAACAACAAAAGTACCGGCAGCAATAGACAGGAGAGGCAGCAGCAGCAACAGCAGCAGTAGCAGCAGCTACCTGTTGGGCCTCAGACGCAGAGCCCTAGCAGCAAATCCGAGAGCTTCCGCCAGCAGCAACCTGCGAGGTCCTTCTGAGCTAGCAGCAGCAGCAGTGGCAGGCGCTGCTGCTTTTGCTGCTGCTGCTCTTGCTGCTGCTGCTGCCCTTGCTGCAGCAGTTGCTGCTGCCGATAGAGCCCACGGCCGTTGCGGGGGCCCTGCACGCCAGCGACGGCGCTGACTGCTGCGGTCGTAGCTGGTGGTCTGTGGTGCTGTTGCTGCTGCTGCTGCTGCTGCTGTCA